TCAGATCTAATTAGAGAACACTGTAATTCAAAATCAATTCATTTCCTGCTGGTTAATAACTAATTCTCCATCAGTGTGAATCAAGAGATTTATTCCTGCAGGTTATGACTTTATTTAAAGCTGCAATTACATCGGAATCCAGCCATGTACAGGGAAGGAATAAATAGGCAAGCGCTTGTCACTCTCAGCTGAGATGGGGGCTTTGGAGAGGAAGGTAAGGTAAGAGAACCATCTTCTCTAAGAGACGCTTGAGCCCAGGAATCCTAGAAAGACAATTCGGCTAAGAAGAGCTGGTTCCAATGGCGCTTTTCTAGTGGAAGAAACTGTCTTGTTTAGCTTTCCAAGAACCTTGTGGGAGGCCCCATCCTACAGCACAACTTGATGCTTAAACTAAGGAGCACAAGCTTGCCATGAGTCCTGCTCTACATCCTTTTCCGGGTTCCACCACAAAACCGCGGTCGACTAAAGCGCGCTCGACGAAACCGCGTACCTGACGTCATCACAGCGCGACGAAAAAAGCACGCTGTGAGCGCTAAAGCTAAAATTAACCCCTAAACCTAAACCTAACCCCCCNTCCCAGCATTAGGCTCTTCTCCAGGGAGTCCTTCCTTCTCATTAGGTGGCCAAAGTATTTGAGTTTTATCTTCAGGATCTGGCCTTAGGAAAACAGGTTGCCTTTTTAAAAATATGCCAATTACAGGTAGTCCTTGATTTAAAGCAGTTCATTTAGTGACTGTTCAAAGTTATGTCACTGAAAAAAGGGACTGATGACCATTTTTCATACTTACGACCCTTGCAATGTCCCCGTGGTCACATGATCAACATTCAGATCAGAAGTGGGTTGCTCCTGGCATTACCGCCAGTTCGGTGCGCACAATCTTTTTCCCGCACACGTGCTCACTTCGCTCACGCGCACAGCAGATGCGCACTGCATGCATTTGCACAAAATTAGGTCCGTGCGTACGCCAAAGGTTAAAAAAAAGAAAAATAATTACACTTCTGCAATTGAAAATGGTTCTGCGCATGCGCAAAAGCAAAAAATCAAGATGGCAGCACCGTATGAGAACCGGTTTGGGGGACGTGGCAGGCCCGGGTCGCTGCCGGTTCCAGTGACCCAGGCCGCCAAACCACTACCGGTTCGGCCGATAGTGTCAGCTGATTCCTATGTATGACTGTTGCAATGTCTTGGTGTCATGTGTTCATCTTTTGTGACCTTCGAACAAGCAAAGTCAATGGGGAAGCCAGATTCACTCACTGGCAATAACCATGTTACTAACTTAACAAATGCAGCGATTCACTTAACAACTCTGGCAAGAGAAGTCATAAAATGGGGCAAAACTCACTTAATAAATGTTTCACTCCGCAACATACATTTTGGGTTCGGTTGTGGTCATAACTCGAGGACTACCTGTATCGCCGAAGGGCAAGATTTTCATTGCAACATAGCTTGAGAGCCAATGGTTTCTTATCTGGTGTCCACACTATAATATTTCAATTGAAATATGCACAAGTGTTTTAACCTGTATGCAGTTGCTAATTGCTCTTAATAAGCTGAGCTTTCTTTTGGTTAATTGACGGTAGATAGCTGTTTGAAATCAACCCAGACATTTTTACTTTTCTTACTTTTTAGTAATAAGAAAGGAGTCTTTTCTGGCCTCTTTTTATAACTGAGAGAGCAGACAGGCTGTGTGACTGCTTACCCTTTTCACAGATTCAAAAACTGGGAAATTGTTGAGGCGGCGAAAAGAAAAACAACAACAACAACAAACTTTGACACGCCAAAGTTAGGAAAAATGTAGAGTTACGTGCAGCTGTTTCCATGGTGTTTCGCTGCATTGCAAAGCTTTACTTTTCTGTGAAAAGCTGAGGAGAAAACTTTCACGTTCCAAAACAATTTTAACTCGTAGACCGAGTCAAGGATGAGACATTAAATACCTCAGGACTACTCCTGCTGTTTTCACATCTCAGCAAAAAGGCAGAGTGCTGGCTTCCCATTATCAGCCAGAAGGAAGGTGTCTTCTGGCGGAAATAGAGTTCCATGGGAATCTGAAATACACCTTTTTTTCTCTTAGAAACATAGTTGATCAATTCCAACTTTCCCCTCGATTCTGGGTGACAATGCGGTTTCAGACGGCTCCCTAAGTACAAGAAAGTCCGTCCATTTCTTTTTAAGATGAATGTGGGGATTCGTGGGCCTTCTAGATGGCTCACAAGAAAAGATCTCTCTATCAGATAATCCTCGACTTACAACCATTCGTTTAGCGACTGTTACAACGGTGCTGAAAAAGATGACTTCTTAACAACCGGCCCTCACGTTTACGATCGTCGCGTAGATTTATGACGGTTGCAGCGTCCTGAGGTCTTGTGAACACCATTTGGGTCCTTCCCAGCCAGCTTCTGATGGGCAAAGTCAGCGAGTGGGTCAGTGGATTCGCTTAAGAACCACGTGGTTCATTTAACGTAGCAAAAAAGGTGGGGAAATGGGGCGCAGCTTGCCTAACAACCAGCTTGCTTAGCAACAGAAATTCTGCTTAAATTTTAAAAGAAATACTTTCCCTAAATATCAACCTCTGGGAGGAGATTTCGAGGTATCTACAGCAGGACTATTAGATTCTGTAACAGCTTTGTTCCTTATGTCATCAGTCTTGTAAACTCGCAGGACTCTTTTATCTCACCATGCCTATGTGTTCTGACCCCCCTCGTCCCACACCAACACACACTCCGAGCCAAAGATAAGTTATGGCATTTAATTAACAGACAGACAGGTCCTTGGCAGCAAACCGGCCCACACAAGCCATGGCAGCAATCCAGCCTAGCAATCCAGCCTGCCAAGCTCACAATAATGCTCTCCAACATTAGTTCCTGTGTTAACTTCTGCAAGAGAGGCATGTGCAGAAGCAGTCCTTTTATAGTCTGGAG